GTAAGTTAACTCGCAGGCTGTATGTTATAACTCTGACAGGAATTTGTTCTCCCGGAAATTGTTTCAAGTTCTCCGCTCCCGCTCGGCTGCTTTTCTGCCTCACGCCTGCTGTGCGAGGCGGGCGTGGAGCCGTTATCTGCCGCGGGCATTTCGGGGCTGAAGCCAGGGCCGCTGCCAGGGCCAGGGCCTCACGTGGGCTGCGGCCTTTCCCCCGGGGTCGCTCGGGCCGGGCTTCCTCCGGGGCCCCGGGGGAGGGGGAGGGCCCGCCCGCCTGGGCCTCCGCCGAAGCCTCGGGCGCCCCGGCGGGAGCGCCTCGGGGCTCGCGCATTGTAGGCGAGGAAAGACTGCCGCTGCCTTGGGGGCATAAGCGTGCATCGACGCTGATAACAATTGATACAAAGGAACACAAGAAAGAAGGGAATTGTCATTTCCCACCCATTACCCACAACCAAGACCTATTAAACTGGTAAAATTTGGTTATCATCCAAACCACCAGTTTGGTCTAACAGCAGAGCCAGGGCGCCCCACTTCGTGCCCTGGCACGGTTATTCAGCAAGGCACAGACGGGTGCTATATTTGGCGATGAAAGGCCAATCTGCCGTCTTGCAAGAACAGTGCTGCATCCTTAAATTCTTCAGGTTAGCATTGGTGGATTTCTGCTGGTAAAGAGCATTGATAGTAGTTCCGTTTGGTACGTGGCAAAAGTAGTAATGATATAGGATCCATCAGTGGGGAGGGCGGTTAATGTTACTGAGAGCAATGCTCGGAGATAGAGGGGAGTGGACACTGCTATCTTAAAGAGCGTAAGAAATGGTCACAAAACACACAGATACAGTTGCAGCAGATCCGTTGCATATCACTGTTCAGAGATTTGGTCCACAAGAAATGCTAATCTTGTCTAGGGAATTAGTAGGAGGAGGAAAGGTTAGGTTTGTATTTTGGGTTCTTATGATACCCTGGTTTTCGGAGAGACTCGGTAGGATGTATTGTGCTCAGTGACAAATTCTGGGAGGGCTTGAAGTAGCCTGGAAAATGGTTGTTTTGTCTTTGTTAGTTGATTGCAAATCCTAACACTATCTCTATCAAGAGCCTGCTACCCTCTTCAAGCCCATGTCCAGTATGCAAAATGTTAATTCAGTTAATATTACCAAGAACTTTGCACAGAAATAGAGGATAATGGATACTGCCATCTTTTAGAGCATAAAGAATACAGTTGGAATTAATACAGGTTTATTGGCAGCGGCCTCATATTTACCGGGAAATGACACAAATAGACTATTCATGTACTGCTCAGAGACAAAGTCAACAACACTCGTAGTCCTTAATGTCTCATTTTCTGTAGCTCTATTTTATACATTTTCTTTAATAGTCATATTTTCTGTTGACAAACCTGGAAGTCATTTCCTATTATTTTTTCATATTCCTCATTACCTTTCCTCTCGTTTTTTTTTATACTACATCTCTTTGGTTGCTTTCTCAAATATATAAGCAATTTTATTTTGTATTACCTTATTTCTATTAACCATTTTTAACCATTTAACCCAATGGCGCCGGGTGTACAAAACAAAACAAAAAAACTCTACGCTTAAGCAAACAAAGGCGGCGCGCCGACTTTGAGCGCGTGAGTAGGGGACATCAGCCCGAATCACTGGATCGCCGCACTTTGCCGCGCCGCTGGCTCGTTTGGCTGCATGCCAACTTTTGAGCGCTTTGTTTACACGCCGATCGGCGTCACCCGGCACCAAGGGTTAATGATATTACTGCTTGTTTACCTTAATTGCCTCCTGTATCAGAACCATACACACTGTCAATCACTTCCTCAGTTTCCTTTAAGCTTTGCCAGGGCAGGACCTTCATATTTAGATATTATTTTATCAGTTTTGTTTCTTCTATCATCATACATCATTACAGTGTTATTGATAAATGTTTATTATGGTAGGTAAGGGCAAATTTTGAAACCTTATGGTGGCCAGGGGCAGGATACTCAAAACAGTTTACAATGTTGTATCTCACATCGGAGCAGCTACAATGTTGTAACTCCTCCGAGGCCATACTCAAAACAAAAATAGCCACCATGTTATGACGTCACACATTGTAAAGTACCTTGTAAGTTACAACTGCTCGGGAGCTCTTGTAAGGGTTTCAAACCAGATATATTACGGTTTATTTCCCGATTACTTAGTTGACAAAAACCTTTATTTGACAGTAACATGCCTTTTCCATGTTTAATACCGGGGAATTTCAATTGTCTAGCATACTCTGTTTTCCATGCATTATCGTTATTTTGAATCAAATATAAATTGACTGTAAATTGAGTTGACAGACGACAGACAACACACAACAATGTTTTGGTGGCTGCTCATCCTCATGACCGAGCATTGCAGCGCGAAAGATATCATTATGGGGAATCATTAGTTTCATGCTATGGAGAGGATAAGCATTTATTGCGATAACAGATTTCTTAGATTTGTTTTACTATAACCTTCTTTGATGCCGAATATCCAACTAGACAATCCTTTTAAGAATTATTATTCCGATAATCAGTGACTCTTCCTTATCAATTTACTTTAAATCAATTTACTTTAGCATGAAATTATGATTTTTTGCCTTATACTTCCGAAAAATTGTATGTAAGTCATATGTGAGACCTCATAAACATGTTGTTAAAAGTATAGGAAATATGTCTTTCAAAAATATTACTCGGGGAGACAGTCGCTGGGCCTTCCATGGAGTTGGTGACCGTTGGGGGCATGGCAACAAGACAACCATGGCTTTCCATTGGTTGTTACATCTAGCAGGCTGACTGCTGATTGGTCAATCGACTACCGGTCTGCCCTCTCTTGGTAGTCAATGGAATTAACTTACAATGTAAACACGGGCCTTACAATGTGCTTACTACTTTGTAATTATTTTTTGAGTATGGGTGTGTTACAATGTAGTAAGGAGTTCGTAAGGTACGATGTAGTAAGGCGGTTACAACGTCCTCGGCCTTGTAACTTACAGGTTGTTTTGAGTATCCCACCCCAGGCTTGCTCTTGCTTTTGTGCCAGTTGCTCTAAGTGTTACTTATGAATCTGCACGGAGCATCTTTCGATTTCCATACAAAACTATTTCTAATTATGCAGCTCATCTGCATCCTCTACGTTGACGTTATGTCGCTAATTTTCTTTATACTGAATTGGATATCACTAGGCACAAAGTGCTAATAAAAGGGTGGTCTAGGGGCATAGCCCCCTGGCTAGGGAGCTATGGTGTTGTGACAAAGTCCACAACACCCTCATAGCCAGTCTTTAATGTCTCATTTTCAATAGTTCGATTTTATACATTTTCTATGTCAGTTTTCTATAATGGTTGCATTCTCTGTTTACAAACCTGGAAATCGAAAAACTCTACGGGAACCAAACCCACCGTTTGGTAAAATTCTACGGGATTTCACTTAATCCAGATCCCCTGTGGTAATCGTACAATGCGTCCTAACCAATAAACCAACCTAGCCTAGCCTAGTCTAACCTAACACTGTGGGATTTATACACTACGATCTATACATTCCCTAGCCAGGGGGCTCTGCCTCCTGGACCCCCATGGTATTGAATGTGCCTAGCCAGGGGGCTATGTCCCCTGGACCCCCGTAATAATATACCACATACCTTTATAAAGTGGAAAATGAACTTTTCTGTGCTTCCGTCTATGATCAGAATTGCTTGTTTTCTAATCACTTTTTTCAGCATTTGGGGCACTTGTTGGGCTCAAATATCAGGCTTGTGATTGAGAATAATGTCTCTTTGTCCTGTATATCCACAATATAGCTTAAAAAATGACCTGATGTCGATGCAGCACTTGAAATGAAACATTTTTCACCGGTGTTTCTCAGCGAATGGCGGTGGGTCGACCTGTCAAATCTCCTGGTGAAAACGCGCATGCGCAAAAGGTTATTGTACAGAATAATGTAAATAATTACCAAAAGACGCAAGAGAAGTATAATAAAACTAGAAGAATGCATTACATACATGAATTCAGAGAATCAGATGCTAGTAATGACAAAATAAGCGTTCTCACAAGCGCGTAGCAATACATGGACTACTTGCTGGATCGTAGTAATGAGTTACGCGTCACATTTGTTTTGATCCTCGCAAGATAAACATGGAAGGGGGCTTAGAAAATGAAAGGTTGAGCTTCTCTCTTCTCTGTCCTATATCTCCCTTACTTTAGATTTGCGCACCTTTTACCATAGATGAAAAGTAACCATTCCATACACTTATTTTACTGTACTCTTGGTTGACATGTTTGGAAAGTTTTCCCCATTTAGTAACCCCCCCCCCCCCCCATTATTTTTTCATATTCCTCATTTCCTTTCCTTTTGTCTTTTTCTTTTTTTCTTTTATAATACTACATCTCTAGGGTTGCTTTCTCAAATGAATTTTTATTTGTTTTTCCTTAGTTCTGTTAGCCATTCATAACTTAACATTCCTGCTTGTTTACCTTAATTGCCTCCCATATCAGAAGAATACACACTATCTATGGCTTCCTCAGTTTCCTTTAAGCTTTTGCCAAGACAGGACCTTCAAACTTCTGTGGTCATTGACATGGGGTATGTTTGATTTTATATTTAAATGTTATTTTATCAGTATTATGAAACTTTTATTATCATAGATCATTACACTGTTAATGATAAAAGTTTATTATGGTAGATACGGGCTATTTTGCAACATTAGGGCTCGTCTGTACCCTACACACTGGGAAGTTCCACTATATATAGCAGTCTTCCTACTTAACCCCTTCTCACAGGGTGAAGAAAATGAATAAAAAAACTATGCTCTGGAGATTAACCCAATGGCGCCGGGTGTACAAAAGAAAAAAAAAAACTCTACGCTTAAACAAACAAAGGCGGCGCGCCGACTTTGAGCGCGTGAGTAGGGGACATCAGCCCGAATCACTGGCTCGCCGCGCTTTGGCGCGCCGTCGGCTCGTTTGGCTGCACGCCAGCTTTCGAGCTCTTTGTT